GGGAGCAGCTAGCACTGCTCATAAACCAAATGAATCCCAGTTCCCACCCATCCCCACCCACCACGACACAGGCTCTGCATTCACCTCCTCAACATGTCCACGCTGAGGACCCACTAAGAGCCAGGGCATATAGTGGTCATCAATACACACCCAGGCCCATCCCATACAAAGTACACTCCGGCAGGGGGAGATGCATGTGAATCAAAGGATCATACAGATACACAATTCAGATGCATCCTGGCAGGGCATGGTGGCTCACACCTGTAATCCCAGGTGTGAGTTTTTGGGAGGCTGAGGCCAGAGGATCGCTTGAGCCCAGGAGTTCAAGGGCAGCCTGGGCAACATTGTGAGAACCCATCTCTACAAAAAATTAAAAAATTAGCAGAGGCCGGGCATGGTGGTGGCTGAAGCCTGTAATCCCAGCACTTTGGGAGGCTGAGACGGGCGGATCACGAGATCAGGAGATCGAGACCATCCTGGCTAACCCGGTGAAACCCCGTCTCTACTAAAAAATATAAACAACTAGCTGGGCGAGGTGGCGGGCGCCTGTAGTCCCAGCTACTCCGGAGGCTGAGGCAGAAGAATGGTGTAAACCCGGGAGGCGGAGCTTGCAGTAAGCTGAGATCCGGTCACTGCATTCCAGCCTGGGCGACAGAGCGAGACTCCGTCTCAAAAAAAAAAAAAAAAAAAAAAAAAATTAGCAGGGCATGGTAGTGTGCACTCCTAGCTACTCAGGAGGCTGAGGTGGGAGGATCACTTGAGCCCAGGAGTGTGAGGCTACAGTGAACTATGATCATGCTATTGAACTCCAGCTTGGGTGACAGAGCAAGACTCTCTTAAAAAAAAAAAAAAATCAGATACATCCTTATTGAGTATGATGAAGCCTACCAAGAAAAAAGTGGGAGAGGGAGACCAGAAGAATGTATAAAGGAGATCCAAATTGGACTGGGGGCTCAGGGAAGGCATCCCTGAGGAAGGGATTGTTGTGCTACGATCTGAAGGATTAATAGGTGTTAGCATGGTGAAGATGTGACAGGTGGAATGGGCTGGGAGAAGGGAGCAGGCTCATTTAACAGGAGCAGAGGGGAAAGCGCTGGACCAGGGCAGAGGAGGGGCCACGTGGGAAAGGCATTTAGACAGCAGACTGGGCAGAGCCTGGGGCAGGGTTGCAGGTGAGGGAGAAAAGGCAGCTGTCAGGACTCTGGGGTTTCTGGTTTGAAGGCCAGGAAGGATATGGAGTGTTCAGACATTACTACCCACCCCCAGGCTGATGCATACTCTCTGGGCCATGCTGTATCTTCCTCATAGCAGTTACACAATGTACCAGATACTTTACTCATTTACTTGTCTGTCTTCTCCAATGATGACAAAGCTCTAGGAGGACAAAAATTTTTGATGGCTCACTGAGTAATCCCCATGTTTTTTTAGAGACAGGGTCTCACTCTGTCACCCAGGCTGGAGTGCAGTGGCATGATCATAGCTCACTGCAGCCTTGAACTCCTGGGCCCAGGCGATCCTCCCACCTCAGGCTCCTGAGTGGCTGGTAGTATAGGCACATGTCATCACACCCAGCTAATTTTAAAAATATCTTGGCCGGGCGCAGTGGCTCACGCCTGTAATCCCAGCACTTTGGGAGGCCGAGGCACGCAGATCACGAGGTCAGGAGATTGAAACCATCCTGGCTAACATGGTGAAACCCCGTCTCTACTAAAAATACAAAAAACAAAAAAACAAAAAAAAAACCCACACAATTAGCCAGGAGTGGTGGCGGGCACCTGTAGTCCCAACTACTCGGGAGGCTGAGGCGGGAGAATGGCGTGAACCCACGAGGTGGAGCTTGCAGTGAACCAAGATTGCGCCAGCCAGCCTGAGCGATAGAGCGAGACTCTGTCTCAAAAATAAATAAAAAATAAAAATAAAAATAAAAAAATAAAAATTTTAGAGGTGGGGTCTTGCTATGTTGCCCAGGCTAGTCTTGAACACTGGGCCTGAAGTGATCCTCCCACCTCTGCCTCCTGAGTACCTGGGATTACAGGTGCAAGTGCCACAGCTGGCTAAATGCATTTTTGATTTATGATCTTGTAGGGAATGGATTTGCTGTTTTTGCTTTCTTGTTTTGAAGACAGCGAGAACTCTGGCGAGATAATCACCATCTGGCTCGGGCTGGTGGTGCCGCAAGTGGGCCCAGATCTCCGCTCTGCGACTGCCAAGCTTCCGCGAGCAGTGTCGGCATGGCCCACTCAGAGTCCTGCGCACTCAAAGGCTGCCCCAGGAAAGGTGCGCCTTGGGTCAGCCCACCACTCGCCTGTGCTGTAGATGCTTTGTAAGGTGGTCCCAAAGTTGAAGCATTCTCGGGCTTTCCGCGTTTCAGCCCGCTGTTTCGTTCTCCCCTAGGGGTGAGCCTGTTTTGTGTGTCCGAATCTCGCGGTGAGCCTCGGTCTCGCGTCTCAGGAAATAGAAACGCTTTCATTCCTCCCTACCAAGTCTGGTTACAGGTCCTTGTGTTTCGCGCTTGGTTTATGTGGGCCGCCTTCTCATGCTCTCGTGCACTTTGTCATTGTTACAGGTTCCTTCTCTATTTGGCTACCAATGTTCGGAGTTCCTCTGAACAGACAGGCGATGTAACAGGCAACATCCTCCCTGCTTCTACATCCTAGTGAATAGTGTCAAACCCGGGCGCCGCAACTGAAAAATGTCGTCTTGATTACTTGCACTCCGCGCGCGGCACAGTGGGGTTCGCCCTGACTCGAGTCGCCTTATGGACCATCCATGAGAACCTGCTTTGGGCTCAGCCCGATTAACAGAGGAGGGGTGACCCCATGTTGGATCCGGCCAAGAAGAGTGAAAAGAGAGTCTGAACCATACAGGCTCGCAGAAATTATGTAAACGCATCTCGGAACGTTGGGAACGCTCTCCTACTGTGGCTAAAAAAGATATACAATAAGAATATGAATAGTGCTTTACACAATCAATTAGCCAGTACACGGTGTTGAGGACAGGCATGGTGCTTTTCAGTCTCTGGTGTGTCGTGGCGCGATAGGCGTGCCAGCAGTCCGCAGATAAGCCTCGCGGTGGGTGTGAGGGCGCTCTCCTGTGAGGTTGCTGTGTCGCTTGTCGTGTGAGCGAGCTTTGCGAGGTTATAGACTGATGTTTGCCGACGTGGTCTATTTCGAGTCTGGCGCAGTTTCCTCGCGGCCGGATCGTGCGCCAGTCCGGTTGTCGCAGAAAAGAAAAAGAAAGCAACAGAGAAAGGGTAGCCATGAGACAGTATATTGTTGTGCTCCTATATGTGTCGAAGAGCGAGTGCTGCCATGGAGCCGAGGACTGTGGCGTTTACTCTACTCACTCAGCCGTTTATGCGAATGAAGGAGAGTGCCCATTGAGCAGAGAGGATGCAGGATCCCATCTGTACCGCTGCACAGATCAGATAAAAGGCGCATAAGGCGACTGACCGAGTGCTGATGCCTTGAAGCCCAGCACCTCGAGGCCAAAGAAGCCAGATCCCTGATCAGAGGGTCAAGACAGCTTGACAACCATGAGAAATCCCAATCTGCTACTAAACACACAAAATTGGCTGGCCCGTGGTCCACTATCCGCTACTCGGAGCAAAGCAGGAGAACGCTGAACCCAAGCGGACCTGTGTGTGAGCCAAGATTGTTGCCATCTTGCACTCCAGCCTGGGCAGACAAGAGCGAAGACTCCGCTGCTCAGAAAACAAAACAAGACAAAAAGGGGCCATGTTGCCCTAAGCTCATGCCTATAAATCCCACGCACTTTGGGAGGCCAAGTTGCACATGCCATTCGACCTTGGGTCGGTTGTTCTGGAGGAAACCCCCCCCGCCCCAGCCTGGCCAATGTTGGCAAAACCCCATTTCTACTAAAAATACAAAAATTAGCCAGTAGTGGTGGTGCCAGCTGCGCTTGTGGTCCCAGCTACCTGGGAGGCTGAGAAGTGGGATGATCGCTTGAACCTAGGAGGTCAAGGTAGCAGTGAGCCATGATTGCATCACTGCACTCCAGGCAGCCTGGACGACCGATCAGGACCCTGTCATGCATGCATGCACACACACACACTCCCAGGCCAGTTGTGGTAGTTCACGCTTGTAATCCCAGCACTTTGGGAGGCCCAGGCGGAAGAATCACTTGAGTCTAGGGGTTCAAGACCAGTCTGGGCAACATGGCAAAACCCCATCTCTCTTTTTTTTTTTTTTCCCTGAGACGAGTCTCGCTCTGTTGCCCAGGCTGGAGTGCAATGGCACAATCTTGGCTCACTGCAACCTCCGCCTCCCAGATTCAAGCCATTCTCCTGTCTCAGACTCCAGAGTAGCTGGGATTACAGGTACCCGCCATCATGCTCGGCTAATTTTTGTAGAGACAGGGTTTCACCATGTTGGCCAGGCTGGTCTTGAACTCCTGACCTCAGGTGATCCAACCGCCTCGGCCTCCCAAAGTGCTGGGATTACAGGCGTGAGCCACAGCACCCAGCTGGCATATTTCAGTTTGTTATTTGACTCCCCAGTGAAATGTAAGCCTCACGAGGACAGGGATTCTGTCTTAGAACAGTGCCTGGAATACAACAGACACTCAATAAGTGGGTGTCGAATGAATAAATGTCCCATGCTGAGGCTCAGGTACGTTATGATGCTCCTTTTACCAAAGAGAAAATTAGGATACACAAAGATTAAGTCATTGGGTCGCACACCTTGTGAATGCCGAGTACTCAGCACACGCCCAATAACAGCATTATTATGATTACTTGCCGCTTACTCAGGCCGTGAGCTAAGTGCTTTACCCTGAGTCATCTCGCTCAATTTAGCAATAACCCCAAGCCGGCACCTTCGCGAACCCCACTTTCCAGAGGAGGAAGCCAGCGCCAGATGTTGCCCTGCAAGGCCGGGGCTGGCTCGGGGTTCGAACCCGGACGTCTGACAGGCCCTCCGCTCTCCCCGAGGCGTTACCGTGGTGGCCCCCACTTCCTCCCCACGGGACCCGGCGCTCACCCCCGGACCGGGGTCGGGGTCGTGAGCCCACAGCTCCGCCACCATCTCCGTGTGAAGAAACTCGAACAGCACAGTGTCCGCCATGAGCCCTCCTCGCGCGCCTAAAGATGCGCCCAGCGCTTCCCGCTCTCATTGGCCAGGCTTGGTAAGCCACGCCTCTCAAGTCACGGCGCGAGCCCTCCTACTCCTGCTTCCGCTGGTGTTTTAGACCAGCCCCGCCTCCCCACCTCCGGCTCAGGTGGTGTGCGCGTGAGCCTGGGATACTAGGGGGCGGGCCTACTCCTCCTCTGGCCGCACGTGACAACATCTTCTGCAACTTGCTGCCGTCCCTTCCCTATTTCCGGGTTCTTGAGCATTCCTATTGGCCAAATTACTGGTTACACGTGACATACTCGGCTTTTAAAATCCCTATTTGTCCATTCCAGACTTTTCTCGTCGCACAACCTGGAAAAGCCGGCCCAGTCGCTTCTCTATTGGCGGTTCCTCCATTCATGTGATCTTCTGCACACTCCCTCAAAGCTTATGTTGAGAACTTGCATCCTGATTGGTAGTCGAGCGAATCCACGTGACTTGGCCGCTAATGCCCGCCCAACCCGCTCCCCTATTGGTCGAGATTGCAGCCCTTCAGCTGCCACGGTGAGGACTCGGCACTCGGGCAAGGAAGAGGATCCCGCAGGCTCGGAGCGTTAGCTGCCGGGTACGGTCTTTGGCGATAGCGCTTCCCCCATCCCATGAGTGCCCCCAGCGGAGTCCAGTCGGACTGTCATCCTTTCTGCGACTCTGGCACTGGTCCTGAGCAGCTCAAGGGCCCGAGTGCTTCCGGGTCTGAGATTGGCATGGTGGACCAGGTGGAGGGTGTGGCCGCTACTAGGAGGCAAATTCGTAAAGAGTTCGGCTTGGGACTCCGGGAACTCGGGCCCCAGATCCCTGATGGAGCTGGTCTTCAGTTTCCCCATCTGTACGCTGAAGGGCCTGGGGTCCAGTAACCCTCATCATCACCCAGTTTACAGAAGAGGAAACTGAGGCCCAGGCAGGGGGAGCAACTGACCCCAAGTCGTTAAGAGAATCAGCGAAGGGGCTGGGAATCCAGGACCTGCGCCTTTTACCCACCGCGGCGCCCGTCTCACGTGCAGTCCCTTCGCTTTTCTGCCCTAGCTCGGCGCCATGGCGTCCCAGGGTCGTCGGCGGAGGCCCCTGCGGAGGCCGGAGACGGTGGTGCCTGGGGAGGCGACCGAGACGGATTCCGAGCCCTCTGTGTCCTCGTCGGAGGAGGAGGAGCTGTACCTGGGTCCCTCGGGCCCGACGCGCGGCCGCCCCACGGGGCTGAGGGTGGCTGGGGAGGCCGCAGAGACCGACTCGGACCCGGAGCCGGAGCCAACGGCCGCGCCGAGGGACCTGCCTCCGCTCGTGGTGCAGCGGGAATTGGCGGAGGAGACCTGGGGCGCGGAAGAGGCCCCGGCGCCCGCCCCTGCGCGCTCGCTCCTGCAGCTTCGGCTGGCGGAGAGCCAGGCGCGGCTGGACCACGACGTGGCGGCCGCGGTGAGCGGTGTTTACCGCCGTGCGGGCCGCGACGTGGCCGCCCTGGCTGGTAGGCTGGCGGCAGCCCAAGCGGCGGGGCTGGCGGCGGCCCACAGCGTGCGCCTGGCGCGCGGGGACCTTTGTGCTTTGGCCGAGCGTCTGGACATCGTGGCTGGCTGCCGCTTGCTGCCGGACATCCGCGGCGTGCCGGGGACCGAGCCTGAGCAAGACCCGGGGCCGCGGGCCTAGCCATGATTCTACTTCCCAACCCGACTGCAATTTGGGGGTAGGCCTTGCTGCCTCTGGGACCTGACTCTGTCCCCTGTGTCTCTTATGACCCCCCACCCCCCGCTCCCATCTTAGTGCCACCCATGGGGGCTAATCCAGTCCCCTTGGATAATGCTTTATGTTGGATATAGTTCAACCCCTACTGTGGAGACCAGGGCCCCACTACCCTTAGATCTGGTTCCTTCACCTATCCTGACCCTGCCGCCTGGTTCTGAGCCTTACCCTGGGGCTTGGCTCCAGCCTTTGATAAATAGTTGCTCCTTAATCTGTTTCCACCCTGGGGGCTCATCATGTCATATTTTGTCTTTTGCCTTTCTTTTCACGCTCGCTCGCTCTTTTTTTTTTTTTTTTTTTTGAGACAGGGTGTGTATCTGTCACCCACGCTAGAGTGCAGTGGCAGAATTATCACTCACTGCAGCCTCGACCTCCTGGGCTCAAGTGATCCTCCCAGCTCAGCCTTCTAGAGTAGCAGGCACTGCAGACCTACACCACCATGCCCAGTTGCCTGGTTAATTTTTTTTTCTGACAGTTTGAAGAGGGGAGAAGGTCTCACTGTGTTGCCCAGGCTGGTCTCAAACTCCCGGGCTCAAGCGATTCTCCCACCCTGGCGTCCCAAAGTGCTGGGGTTACAGGTGTGAGCCATCACACCCGGCTGTGCTCTTTCTGAGTGTTTCTGCTTGTGGTGGGGGGCTTGTTCCCGCTCTTCCCACAGGAACCCAGGATGTGGCACAGCTTCCCTGCCGTCTTCCTTCACTCAATTGCCTACGCCTCCCATCCTAGCTCCACCTCCAGAACTGCCCTCCCCCTGGGCTGGGTGCTTGTTTTGTTTTTAGAGACAGGGTCTCACTCTGTCGCCCAGGCTGGAGTGCAATGGCGTGATCTCGGCTCACTGCCACCTCCATCTCCAGAGTTCAAGTGATTCTCTTGCGTCAGCCTTCCGAGTAGCTAGGATTACAGGCATGCACCACCATGCCTGGCTAATTTTTATATTTTTAGTAGAGATGAGGTTTCAGCATGTTGGCCAGGCTGGTCTCGAACTCCTGGCTTCAGGTGACCCACCCGCCTCACCTCCCAAGGTGCTGGGATTACAGGCGTGGGCCACTGCACCCGGCCAGCTGGGTCCTTGTTCTGCTGCCCAGGCTTGGCCCTGGTTCTGTGGGTTGGTTCTACTTTTTGTCCTCCAATCTTCTGCCTCCTGCCTCCTGCCTCCTCCTTGAGCTTAGCCCCACCCTCTCAGCCTGATTTCTGTTTCCCAAGTCCAGCTGTGCCATGGGATAGGTGGGATAGGTTTTGCTAACTTTTGCTGTCTCCATCGTGCTTACACCTCCCTGATCCTGGGCTCTGGGGACTCCCCATGGTTTCCTTACTTCGGCAGGCCCAAAATGATGGCCTCTCCTAACCCAAGGCAGGGGATCTTCCTCCCAACTCTGGACCAAGGTGGCATTTCCTGCACACCCCTCCAGGCCGAGATGATGCTCGCTGTCAACTCTCTAGGCCAAGGTGGCATCTCCTCCTGACTCTCCAGACCTAAAGTGACACCCTTCAGGTACTTTGGGCCCAATTCAGCCTTGCCCTGGTGCTTTGGGCTCCAGATGACAGCACTTTGCAGATAAGAACGATATGACGTGTGGATTTCACTACATTTGGCTCCTGGATGCTATAAAAGGACTTGGATTTCTGACTTGGCTCAGGGACTGGGGTTAGCAGCCACTTTCTGCTCCTTCTCACCTGCGCTTTCTTCTGATCCCAGCTCTGGTCCCTCAACCGTATTCATATTTACTCTCCCCTCCCAACCTGATACCCCTGTCCCTTATCCCAACCCAAAGCCAAGATCTGAGCCCCCAAGATGGAGAATGGGGAGGAGCTTTCTATGGCAGACTGATTAAAACTCTTAAGCATTAACCATTATGGTTAGTTCCTTTTATCTCCCTACCTAAGCTAAGGGTGAGTTAGTTGATATCTCTGAGAATGGGGGTCCCAAGACCTCCATGCCTGGCGTACGGAAGGTGAAGCTGTAGTTGGGAAATCAGGGGCCCTAGATTTTTGCTCTGGTTCTGTATTTACTTGTATTTTATTAATTCAACACACACATTTTGGGTACCTGACCTGTGCTGGGGCTGGGGGTGTAGCAGCCAGTCCCTGCCCTCACAGAGGTCGCAGTCCAGTGGGAGAAACAGTAATAAGATGTTCTCACAGATAGTTCTAGTAATCAAAATTTATAGTTTAATTTTTAAAAATAGAGACGATAGCCTGGCCAACACGGTGAAACCCCATTGTTACTAAAAATACAAAAATTACGGGGGATGGCTCACACCTGTAATCGAAGCACTTTGAGAGGCCGAGGCACGTGCTGGTAATCCCAGCTACTCAGGGAGCTGGGTCATGAGAATTGCTTGAACCCTGGAGGCGGAGGTTGAAGTGAGCTAAGATCACGCCACTGCACTCCAGCCTGGGTGACAGAGCAAGACCCTGTTTCAAAAATAAATAGACCAGTTGCAGTTACGCATGTCTTTAATCCCAGCACTTTGGGAGGTTGAGGTGGGCAGATCACCTGAGGTCAGGAGTTCTAGATCAGCCAGGCCAACATGGTGAAATGCTGTTTCCACTAAAAATACATTAGCCAGGTGTGGTGGCACATGCCTATAATCCCAGCTACTTGGGAGGCTGAGGCAGGAGAATCGCTTGAGCCCAGGAGGTGGACGTTGCAGTGAGCCGAGATCAGGCCACTGCACTCCAGCCTGGGTGACAGAGTGAGATTCCATCTCAAAAATAAATAAAAATAAGAAATTAATTTTAAAACATAAAATAGAGATGAACCCTCACAGTGTTGCCCAGGTTGGTCTTGAACTCCTGAGCTCAAGGGATTCTCCCGTCTTGGCCTCCCAAAGTGCTAGGATTGCAAGCATGAGCCACTGCACCCAGCCATAATTTATAATTTAGATACAATTTTCTTGACACTGTGATTAGAGCCATGAAGAAGTAAAGGAGCTTTATGAAGGTGGAGCAGGGTCTGTCTGACCTAATCTGGACAGGAGAGAGGAAGTGATGAGTGGTGTTGCAGCTGAGCCTGGAAGGTGGAAGTAGGTGAAATGGGAGTAGCGTGAAGACTTGCAGACATGGAGAACAGCATATGCGAGGGCCCTGAGGCAGAAGGGACCAGAACCTGTTTAGCAGAAGATGATGATTTCTGCTCTCCACCTAGAGTGGAGAAGTGTGTGGGGGGGGGCAGGGGGTGCTGAGTGCAGTACCAGAAAGGGCCAGATAAAGGTGAACCTTAAAAAATTGTATTATTGACTGCGCGCTGTGGCTCACACCTGTAATTCCAGCACTTTGGGAGGCCGAGGTGGGCAGATCACCTGAAGCCAGGAGTTCGAGACCAGCCTGGCCAATGTGGTGAAGCCCTGTCTCTACTGAAAATATAAAAATTAGCCAGGTGTGGTGGCGCATGCCTGTAATCCCAGCTACTTGGGAGGCTGAGGCAGGAGAATCACTTGAACCCAGGAGGCAGCAGTTGCAGTGAGCCAAGATTGCACTACTGCACTCTAGCCGGGGGGACAGAGCAAGGCTCTCTCAAAAAAAAAAAAAAAAAGTAGGTGC